ATCCCTGCAAACAACAACACACATCTGATCCCTGCAAACAACACACACGTCATCCCTGCAAACAACAACACACACGTTATCCCTGCAAACAACAACACACACATCATCCCTGCAAACAACACACATGTCATCCCTGCAAACAACAACACACATCTGATCCCTGCAAACAACAACACACACGTCATCCCTGCAAACAACACACACGTCATCCCTGCAAACAACAACACACACATCATCCCTGCAAACAACAACACACACGTTATCCCTGCAAACAACAACACACATCTCATCCCTGCAAACAACACACATGTCATCCCTGCAAACAACAACACACACATCATCCCTGCAAACAACAACACACACGTTATCCCTGCAAACAACAACACACACATCATCCCTGCAAACAACACACATGTCATCCGTGCAAACAACAACACACACATCATCCCTGCAAACAACACACACGTCATCCCTGCAAACAACAACACACACATCATCCCTGCAAACAACAACTCACACGTTATCCCTGCAAACAACAACACACACATCATCCCTGCAAACAACACACACGTCATCCCTGCAAACAACAACACACACATCATCCCTGCAAACAACACACACGTCATCCCTGCAAACAACACACATGTCATCCCTGCAAACAACAACACACACATCATCCCTGCAAACAACACACACATCATCCCTGCAAACAACAACACACACGTCATCCCTGCAAACAACAACACACACGTCATCCCTGCAAACAACAACACACATCTCATCCCTGCAAACAACACACGTCATTCCTGCAAACAACAACACACATGTCATCCCTGCAAACAACAACACACACATCATCCCTGCAAACAACACACACATCATCCCTGCAAACAACAACACACACGTCATCCCTGCAAACAACACACACGTCATCCCTGCAAACAACAACACACACGTCATCCCTGCAAACAACAACACACACGTCATCCCTGCAAACAACAACACACATCTCATCCCTGCAAACAACACACATGTCATCCCTGCAAACAACAACACACATGTCATCCCTGCAAACAACACACACGTCATCCCTGCAAACAACAACACACACGTCATCCCTGCAAACAACACACACATCATCCCTGCAAACAACAACACACATGTCATCCCTGCAAACAACACACATGTCATCCCTGCAAACAACAACACACATGTCATCCCTGCAAACAACAACACACACATCATCCCTGCAAACAACACACACGTCATCCCTGCAAACAACACACATGTCATCCCTGCAAACAACACACGTCATCCCTGCAAACAACACACACATCATCCCTGCAAACAACACACACATCATCCCTGCAAACAACAACACACACATCATCCCTGCAAACAACACACATGTCATCCCTGCAAACAACACACGTCATCCCTGCAAACAACAACACACATCATCCCTGCAAACAACAACACACACATCATCCCTGCAAACAACAACACACACATCATCCCTGCAAACAACAACACACACATCATCCCTGCAAACAACACACATGTCATCCCTGCAAACAACAACACACATGTCATCCCAGCAAACTACACACACATCATCCCTGCAAACAACACACATGTCATCCCTGCAAACAACATCACACACACGTCATCCCTGCAAACAACACACACATCATCCCTGCAAACAACACACATGTCATCCCTGCAAACAACACACATGTCATCCCTGCAAACAACACACACGTCATCCCTGCAAACAACACACACATCATCCCTGCAAACAACACACATGTCATCCCTGCAAACAACATCACACACACGTCATCCCTGCAAACAACACACACATCATCCCTGCAAACAACAACACACACATCATCCCTGCAAACAACAACACACATCATCCCTGCAAACAACACACATGTCATCCCTGCAAACAACACACACATCATCCCTGCAAACAACACACACATCATCCCTGCAAACAACACACACGTCATCCCTGCAAACAACAACACACACATCATCCCTGCAAACAACAACACACACGTTATCCCTGCAAACAACAACACACATCTCATCCCTGCAAACAACACACATGTCATCCCTGCAAACAACAACACACACATCATCCCTGCAAACAACAACACACACGTTATCCCTGCAAACAACAACACACACATCATCCCTGCAAACAACACACATGTCATCCGTGCAAACAACAACACACACATCATCCCTGCAAACAACACACACGTCATCCCTGCAAACAACAACACACACATCATCCCTGCAAACAACAACTCACACGTTATCCCTGCAAACAACAACACACACATCATCCCTGCAAACAACACACACGTCATCCCTGCAAACAACAACACACACATCATCCCTGCAAACAACACACACGTCATCCCTGCAAACAACACACATGTCATCCCTGCAAACAACAACACACACATCATCCCTGCAAACAACACACACATCATCCCTGCAAACAACAACACACACGTCATCCCTGCAAACAACAACACACACGTCATCCCTGCAAACAACAACACACATCTCATCCCTGCAAACAACACACGTCATTCCTGCAAACAACAACACACATGTCATCCCTGCAAACAACAACACACACATCATCCCTGCAAACAACACACACATCATCCCTGCAAACAACAACACACACGTCATCCCTGCAAACAACACACACGTCATCCCTGCAAACAACAACACACACGTCATCCCTGCAAACAACAACACACACGTCATCCCTGCAAACAACAACACACATCTCATCCCTGCAAACAACACACATGTCATCCCTGCAAACAACAACACACATGTCATCCCTGCAAACAACACACACGTCATCCCTGCAAACAACAACACACACGTCATCCCTGCAAACAACACACACATCATCCCTGCAAACAACAACACACATGTCATCCCTGCAAACAAAACACATGTCATCCCTGCAAACAACAACACACATGTCATCCCTGCAAACAACAACACACACATCATCCCTGCAAACAACACACACGTCATCCCTGCAAACAACACACATGTCATCCCTGCAAACAACACACGTCATCCCTGCAAACAACACACACATCATCCCTGCAAACAACACACACATCATCCCTGCAAACAACAACACACACATCATCCCTGCAAACAACACACATGTCATCCCTGCAAACAACACACGTCATCCCTGCAAACAACAACACACATCATCCCTGCAAACAACAACACACACATCATCCCTGCAAACAACAACACACACATCATCCCTGCAAACAACAACACACACATCATCCCTGCAAACAACACACATGTCATCCCTGCAAACAACAACACACATGTCATCCCAGCAAACTACACACACATCATCCCTGCAAACAACACACATGTCATCCCTGCAAACAACATCACACACACGTCATCCCTGCAAACAACACACACATCATCCCTGCAAACAACACACATGTCATCCCTGCAAACAACACACATGTCATCCCTGCAAACAACACACACGTCATCCCTGCAAACAACACACACATCATCCCTGCAAACAACACACATGTCATCCCTGCAAACAACATCACACACACGTCATCCCTGCAAACAACACACACATCATCCCTGCAAACAACAACACACACATCATCCCTGCAAACAACAACACACATCATCCCTGCAAACAACACACATGTCATCCCTGCAAACAACACACACATCATCCCTGCAAACAACACACACATCATCCCTGCAAACAACACACATGTCATCCCTGCAAACAACACACACATCATCCCTGCAAACAACACACACGTCATCCCTGCAAACAACACACATGTCATCCCTGCAAACAACATCACACACACGTCATCCCTGCAAACAACACACACGTCATCCCTGCAAACAACCACACACACGTCACCTGTTGTAGCCATTGTGGTACACTACTAGAAAGTCTCACCTGTTGTAGCTGATGTGGAACTGTGTGTCTCACCTGTAGTAGACGATGTGGAACTGTGTGTCTCACCTGTTGTAGCTAATGTGGAACTGTGTGTCTCACCTGTAGTAGCCGATGTGGAACTGTGTGTCTCACCTGTAGTAGCCGATGTGGAACTGTGTGTCTCACCTGTAGTAGCCTATGTGGAACTGTGTGTCTCACCTGTAGTAGCCGATGTGGAACTGTGTGTCTCACCTGTAGTAGCCGATGTGGAACTGTGTGTCTCACCTGTAGTAGACGATGTGGAACTGTGTGTCTCACCTGTTGTATACAATGTGGAACTGTGTGTCTCACCTGTAGTAGCCGATGTGGAACTGTGTGTCTCACCTGTAGTAGCCTATGTGGAACTGTGTGTCTCACCTGTAGTAGCCGATGTGGAACTGTGTGTCTCACCTGTAGTAGCAGATGTGGAACTGTGTGTCTCACCTGTTGTATACAATGTGGAACTGTGTGTCTCACCTGTAGTAGCAGATGTGGAACTGTGTGTCTCACCTGTAGTAGCCAATGTGGAACTGTGTGTCTCACCTGTAGTAGCCGATGTGGAACTATGTGTCTCACCTGTTGTATACAATGTGGAACTGTGTGTCTCACCTGTAGTAGCAGATGTGGAACTGTGTGTCTCACCTGTTGTATACAATGTGGAACTGTGTGTCTCACCTGTAGTAGCCGATGTGGAACTGTGTGTCTCACCTGTAGTAGCCAATGTGGAACTGTGTGTCTCACCTGTAGTAGCCGATGTGGAACTGTGTGTCTCACCTGTAGTAGCCGATGTGGAACTGTGTGTCTCACCTGTAGTAGCCGATGTGGGACTGTGTGTCTCACCTGTAGTAGCGGATGTGGAACTGTGTGTCTCACCTGTAGTAGCCGATGTGGAACTGTGTGTCTCACCTGTAGTAGCCGATGTGGGACTGTGTCTCACCTGTAGTAGCCGATGTGGAACTGTGTGTCTCACCTGTAGTAGCCGATGTGGAACTGTGTGTCATCGTCTCCCCTGATGACAGTGAGGAACTCTGGAGGGTCGTAGTAGTATCGCCAGTGTCGTAGGTAGTTGGGCTTCTTTCCCCGAGAGTTGTGAGTGACGCCTTCATGCTTCCCTGCCATGATGTCGAATGGACCGACCAGCTGGAATCCGAGCACCCTCTTGAACACATCTGTGGTAGAACAGCCTTCACAGTCAATAGCTTTCAATAGTCCTAACTATTCCACTGTTTGTTAGGACCTGTATACACCAGTGCTCCCTCTTGCTTGCCCCCGTGCCCTGGTTGTCTACATCTAATTGAAATATTTCACCCCCTGGGTGCCGTTATACAAAACAGCCTTCATGCTTCAAATGCCGTAAGTCTGCATTAGGCTATGGGAGTTATGATAACTTAAGTGCTAAGATCACCTTGTACGACGCCCTGGTCAATGACAGAGATGAGACACTGGAATTCCTGTGTCATCCTCTCACCTGTGGGAGCAGCAGAGTCTTCAGCCTTACAGAATTCCCAGAAATCATAGAAGTCCTGCGGCATCTCGACCAGGTACTTGTGTTGGATGTACTGCTTCAGGTTCATGGGCGAGGCGTCCACATCTTCCTCATCACTCTCACTCACTGGGGGCAAACAAACCATCCATCATCTCGGGTGTTCTTGTTATTATGTTTGTTTGTTTGTTGTTTAATGCCGCACTCAGCAATATTCGAGCTATATGACGGCGGTCTGTAAATAATCGAGTCTGGACCAGACAATCCAGTGATTAATATCATGAGCATCGATCCATGCAATTGGGATCGATGACATGCATCAACCAAGTCAGCGAGCCTGACCACCCGATCCAGTAAGTCGCTTTTTACGACAAGCAGAATCACCTTTTACGGCAATCTTGTTATGAAGTTTCATGGTTCCTTTGCTCCCCAAAATAACCCACCAGCCCTGTCATGATCTGTGATGAGATCAAGGGAGGCATGATGCACTAGACAATTCAAGACAGTACGCCTACCCAAGTTTCGATTCAAGTTTTAATTCTACAGTAAAGTACGTTTATAATGATGGTAATGAATTGACGGATATAATGAACTGACTTATTTTTGTCCTAGCCATTTTCAAAACACACTCCTTCAGTTGCTGGATCGGCCACATGTACCAGTATTGTACCCGACACCTGTATCCTACAAGGAGTCTGTACACCCAGGGAAACAAGGCTGCAATTCTGAAATTATTCAGAAGTCTTTTCCTGAGAAAAGTCTATATGTTCCTGTGGCTTATCACGACCATACCTTTCTGAAAATGATCCCTTTTTCATTACTGGTGCAGGGAAGGATATTTGCTCTATTCTGCAGCCCAAACCAGTTTTGTTACTGTTAAAGGTATCCTAAGGCTTGTAGAATTCAAAACATTTTGGGGTGTTACTATATGTTATGACTATTCGAGGGGGCTAGCAGACACGTGTGCAAAGTGCCTTACTATCTCTGCAGTATGTGACTTCAGCCACTTGTCCAAAACCCTAATCTAGAAAACTATTTTTGGGTCTAATATGTTCAGCCAAGAAAGTCCATACATTAATACCAAATCTACTGAAAATGACGCCAAGAGACAATTTTGGGCCAGTAAACTCAAAAGCTTTTGGCATAGGCTATTTCTGCAGCTAGAGTTTACACTGATCTTTTCTGCTAATTTGGTCCTACCATCCTCTTCATCCGCATTGTCCTCATCTGTTTTTTCTTCAGGGACTCCCTTGCTTGTGGTGTCTGGGTCGACATCCGACTTTGTTGGCTTGTCCTTGTTCGGGGTGTCTGGGGCAGCTCTTATCTTCTTTGGCTGATCCTGAATTAGCAAGTCAAACCAAATATACTCAAACAATCACAGCAATGTTCTCTGGGGGGAGTCTTGAATCCAGGAGGGATAAATATAGTTTGCATGTTTCTAGTTTTATTTAAAAAAGTACATATATTATACACATAGGAATGGGTTAATACATGGTGATTACTAGGTCACTTGGTTGGCACGGAGTGGAGACAAAAGGGGAGTCCCCATGCACAGATGAGCCCACTAGGTAGCTCATCATGGTATGTAATAGGGCTGCAACGATACAGGAAGGTCATGATACGATACGCATCTCAATATTCTGGTCACGATACGATACGTATCTCGATACGCAATGATAAAAAAACAAGACTTAAAGCATGTCAAGATTGAACCTTTCATGATTTTGGAACAATCAAAATTATTTTATAATAACAAGTTTACTTAAGTTGTTCAACTTTCTTTCAAAACAATTCAAAGTTCAAACACCAGAAAATAATTAATGTACTCCACCAGTGATACAACTTCAAAGAATTTTGATGCAATTGTCGAAGAAATTGTATCTGAAATTATTGTTTTATCAGGAATAATTTATTCCAATATCGCTTTTACTATATATATATTTATAATTATAAGAACCACAAGTGTAGCATTTTGGTACTGGTGATTGCTGTTGCAGAATATTTTTACGTATGGAACAATTTGACCAGTCACCCTAGGGACTTCCCGTGCTACATGTATTTCGATTGCGATAACAATATGTTGACATATATTAGCCAAATTGCCACAAATATGTCTTTTAACAAGTCAAAGTATGGCATTTTTAATATATGTATCCATTCTCTAGCAACTAAAATTCGTTTCAATGCGTCAAAAGTGGTAATCTGACCGTGGTTGCTGTATCTCTTCACACACGATTTCACATAACTTAATGAAAACAATATTAAATGAAATTTTGAATAAAATTAATAAAATATATTACAAACACAAGTCCAGATATACAATGAACACGTTTTAATAACAAGATAGTGTAATAATGGTATTGAATTGCGTACTTCAGTTCGGATTTGCTGACTGGTATTTTCGGTGTTATGTGCTTGCGGTGATAAGCTGATGTTTTATGAGATGGGGAAAAACATCTGTCGGTGTAAAACCTGAGCTTATTAAAAATGTAAGTACGTTTTTAGGAGCCATGCGTTATCGCGCGCTATAACCAAGTTAGCGGTTTATTGAAAGGCACAATAGCGAGGAAACGCTGTACTTGTGATTTGCGTTCCGTATCGTGGCGTATCGATAAATGGGCCCACGTTTACCATATATCGTATTGTGGGTCAAGTATCGCGATGCATCGGAATATCGGTGTATCGTTTCACCCTTAGTATGTAACCTTGTGGTGTGATGCAAGGAAACTGTACTTTAATTCATTGGTCAGTCAGACACAGGATGAAAATGAATACTACCGTATACTACGTAATAAGCGGACAGAGCACTCTCAAAATTAGAAATAGGGGACTCTTATTAGAATATTATTTTGCTGGAAGAAACAGAGTTGAAAGATAAATTTCGTGGTTTATGCTGACAGCCTGAAATCTTAAATACGACAGATATATTTTTCCAGAATTTAATTGCCCATAATTAAGGGTGCATATAACACACGAGTGCATATTATACGCGAATAAATAAGTCTTGTAAACATTGATCAATCGGAGGGGGTGCTAATTGGGATTGTTCAATAGCCAATATATAAGCAATTATCGCTGTGGGCGCTTATTAGAGCGGGATGCTTATTACGTCGAATACGGTATATCAGAAAGATGAATGTTATATCAGATTAGTAGGCAATCTAGCAGTAATTCCTTAATCAATAATCCCTTAATCCTGGCAATATTTGGACATTACAAGACTGATCATTTATTCCATCTTTTCATTTGCTCTCTGGTACTTCTGTCACAAGACCACATCTTGGTAATCACTTCTACACATGCATACATATTTCTATTCCCAAGAGAAAAGGAATCAATAATCTTTGATCTCATAGGTCGACACATTATCTCAGTAGTCAAGCACCCTTCTTATTTCCATTTCATATTTTAACCTAAAACTTTGTAGAATTTCGTACAAAATATTAAGTTTATATGATTTGCATTTGTGCATATATACGATTTTTAAGAACTCGGTTATTTCTAATACTCAGGAAATAGTTAAGTGCATTTTGCTTTGAGCTGCCGACTGTGACCCTCCTTTACTGATCGCGCGTTCCTCTTCGATCATTTGGGGTATTCGTGTTAGGGTAAGGGTAGGTTACCCCCCAAATTTATCCTTAGCCCTTGGATCCCCTTTACTGATCGTTAGGGTTAGGTACAATACTCTGTGTGTTTGAAGGGTAAAGCGTTGGGGGAGTGGCAGGGGGGACGTCCATGCAGCGTTCAGCTCGTAGTGTGCGACTGACAATTGCACGAAAACTAGATTTAGGTATGAGACAACCCACCCCGCCCCCAGTCTGAGAATCTGGAGTGTCTTCCTCGTCGTCTGCTTTCCTCTTGGGATGACTGTAGGCTTTGATGTGGTCAGCATTCCTTCTGTAGCACTTAGCTCCATATTTACACTTTGGCTTCAACTCTGTCTGCTTTGTTGCCATTTTCGCGGTTTCGCAATCAAATACAGGAAGTGGCTGCCTTTGTACCGCACAGTCTCCGGCGTCGGGAAAACACCGAATCGGATTGGCCGAATCCGGATGGCTTCTTTCAGAATCCGCTGTCTGTTCCTAGGCTCGCCAGCAAGTTTAATATCAACCCGCTGGATGCCGAGGTTTTTTTCTGACGCACATTTTCCTAAGATCGGAAAAGTGAAGCATGTGCGAGAACTACGCTCACGCGGCATTGGATATACTCCTGGCTATAAAATAACGCGGAGATGTAGAATATTAAATTTCCTGTCTGATGGTGTAAATGTAACTGCAAATATTAAACCAGTTTGAAAAATAGACACTGCTGTTGTCCGAGAAATTAACCTGATTTGAAAAACAAGAAATTTCTCCGCTTTTTATCGAACACCGATAAAAGTACTGTGCGACGATTTCTTTTTTTTTAGCAGCTTTACGGAAACTGTCAGCGAACAAAATACTGACTAATATCTAAAGATAAATATATATCAAATGAAGTTATATGCGTATGTATAACGATATAACTTCGATGCAAAAAATAGCCAGCCGTAAATGACGAAAAACTGATTTTCCTCTATGACGTCGGGGCAGAGGTTACACACGTACAAAGAAAAGGGGGCATAACTCCGCTATGCTTAGCACTAGTTTATTGTAACTCAGGTCAATTGGTGAGAATTAGCTGTGGGTAAGGACAATACATTTTCGTGGTGTTTTGTTCACAAGGAACCAAAATATTCCAACACAAAAATCGATATTGAAACTGTATTAGTTTAGGTATAAAACAAACAAATTATGAAATCGTACTTCATAAAAAACGAAGTAATAGCGAAATGGATGGCCCTGTCTAACCTATAAATTAGTCCTAAGATTCCAACATTCTCCTGATTGTTCATGTGTAATTTGACTAATGTTGCACCATTATTAATGAAGCACTATCCTTATCTTCAAATGTAATGAATTACTTTTACAAATGACACCCTTCTATTTGACGTCATAGCTGGTTTTATATCTTTCACAACGTCGGAGGAAGACGACACTGGTATTTTGATTAATAGATATCTCCCCTAATTTTGGTTAATGGTATGGAATTGCGGTCGGGTAGTCTAGTGGTTAAAGCGATCGCTCGTCACGCCGAAGACCCGGGCTCGATTTCCGACATGGGTACCATGTGTGAAGCCCATTTCTGGTGTCCCCCGCCATGATATTGCTGGAATATTGCTAAAAGCTGCTTAAAACCATACTCACTCACTCACTCACTCACTCACTCACTCATGGTATGGAAAATGCCGATGTGTTTAAACGGAATCTGACGCTTTTTCGACATAACATAAAATGACTGCTTTTACCATGTAAATATTGCCTTGAATAGATAAACAACTAGCTAGTTTACCGTGTATCTTTGGACTAGACACGCACCTGTTTGGCATCAATTTTACGTTATCAAATACTAAAAAGAATATTTCAAAACAAACAATGTATATTCAATATTGGACATGTATTTGTTCATTATTATGTGATTGTTTCCCTTCATCTTGTCTCAGAATTATACAATAAAAGATGCGAAGAAAGCTCTATTGGAATAGAATTATCAGGATAATCGTATAAGGTTCGACCAACGAGGTACATGGCACGGGTTATATTTTTATACTTTTTACAATACTTAGAGAAATAAAGTGAACAGTTTAATATCCTGTGTTCACAATATTTAGAAAAAGATGACCCCATTGATTATATAATGCAAAACGATAGGAATAATACGTTAATCGTTTAACTAACGCGCACCTGGAGAATCGTTAGACATCTCTGTTCTGAATATCAAACGACATTAAAAAAACAATTCAAAGACCAAGACAATTCTTCTAGAAATGTGTGCATGTATTTTAACGAAAAATATTATCATATAATTTTGTTTAAGTAATACAGATCTATTCAGATTTAGTAATAAAATAAAATGAAACGGTTATTCATGGGCATTGTTGAAATGAACGTATAATATTGACTATGAATTTCCCGAGAAATACGTACATGTTGCAGTTACATTTACATTTCATCTTGTAACACTTGTCCAAATTAAAGAAATATCGTATACGACACTATAAACTACGCGGATTCATACAGTTTGCTCATCGGTTTTTCGATTCATACCTCAATGAACCAACAAAAATACACAGTCAATCCTTAAATGAATCTTCATAGAGTGAGGGCCATACAAAAATTGAATGTTTGACCCTCACCTTATGAAGGTTCATGCTCCAATGATTACATTTTCGTTGTGTTCATTGAAATTCCTGCATTCTGATTAGCGGAATTGGTTACCCGTTATTGCATTAATTTCCCAATGAATGTAAAAAATTAAGCCACGCCCACCGAGGCGGACTACTTTTATTACTACGGAATGTCGGGGAATCCCAATATTACAGTCGAGGGAATTCCCTTTCTGTTCAATATGAAAACGAAATTTGTTATAGCGTTTATGACAATAAGTAGATACAGACAATAACAATCAACATGTCATCAAAGAGATAATTATTGATATTTGCTGGTTATGTTGGATTTATGCAAATGATTGAGTATTCTACACGCATCCTTGGGTCTACCCCAATGTAGAAGTTCAAATCACTCAAATATGACCAACAGTGTATTGATATTCTACGTCTAGCCATCAAACTCTTGGCAGCCATCTTGGAATTTTGGGCCATCAGGGGTTTCTGGTGACGGAGTTTCTTATCTAAAAGTGTTAACTAAACTTCAGTGAATTAGTGTGCCAAGTTATATGCATATAAGTCCTCGCACACTGTTTTAGAGTTAAAAGATTCAACAGTGTAAACACACATTTAGGAAACTTGTCGACCATCTTGAATTTTTGTAGATTTGTCAATAGTCGAAAACATTCAGTAGGTGTGAATATCTTTTTAGAAACATAATATGGCTATTTCGCAAAACAATACATGTTTTGGTGTTTTTTTTACACGCCAACAATGTCAGTAGCCAATCAACGGAAAGTAGGATCAAAACAAAGTTCATAGGACCTGTCAGTCAAGGCAAGAGGCGAGGAGAACTGCAACTGTCGGAATATAACGAGCCGGAACAAATATGCCCTGGAGAAGGCGGCTGATTCAAATGACATGATCAGTTACCGCCAGATTCAAACATAACTTCCCTTAGAACGGGAAGATGCAGTTGGAAAAGTGCAAGTCAGAAATGAAACCGGAAGACATGAAAGTTAAACCGAGGCGAGCGGGGAAAAAAGGGCGAGCGAGCCTGCACGTTTGCTGTTTCATTCCTCCTCGGCCTTCGGTCTCAAAGGGTTGTTTAGAAAATGAATATGTATGAACTTAGCTAAATGCCCTGTGCATGACGATATACGTAAGGAAAGGGAAAGGGAATTCCTTCGACTGTAATATTTGGATTCCATGAAATTCCGTAGTAATAAAAGTAGTCGGCTTCGGGGGGCGTGGCTTAATGCAATAACACGTGACCAATTCAGCTAATAAGAATTTCAATGAACACAAGGACAATTTAATTATACACTTATGAACGTCAATTTCGCGGTCAGGTGACCGACCTCTCGTCCAATTGAAAAAACGTGTATCGTGCAAACTTCAAATTAAAAAAGTTATACGATAATGGACAGATCTAACCTGTCAATCAAAACTGGCGCATGCGTGCGGTAGGCTTCACGATCAACCTGTCGCCACAATCTTCCACAAGACCTACGTCTGCTCAAAGGTGAGAATTTGCACGAATTTCAGCAGGTGATATTGCTGAAAGGGGACACACGAGACAGCCGTCACACGCTGAAAACCTATCACAGTGATCTGATTTCTGTCTAATATTCTTAATCTAGTGAATCCAAGAGTGTCCAGCTACCTTAGAAATGCAATTGTAATTTCAAGTTTATAAATCAAACTTGCATGTGGTTTCTGATGCAGTTAAACAATTATTACTTCCTAGTCATTAACTGTCATGATGGCAACATGTCGTTTTTTTTATAAAAGCTTTGAACTTAAGAGATATTTGTACCTAATTTACATGTAAAGTATACTCAACAACAAAAGTTCCTGTGACACCAATATTTTAGTGTATTTTTCAAACAAGTAAAGTTGGAGGTGTATGGAATCAAGTCACAAAAACAAACTGCTACAGAAAAGCATGCATTCCATGCAAAAGTATTCCATGCAATACTTTTATGCAAGCCCCATGCATTTCACTACCCAAGAATGGGTATAAAAACATGTGCGTTAACGGGATTCCATATGCATTGTTTAGTATCGTGCTGACAACAACCACTCAGAAAAAGAACAAAATTAAGCAATTATTCAACATTACGAAATGTCACGCCTGTCGGAAAATGAGCGTCTGCGAGCCATTGGTATGCTTGAAGCAGGATCGAGTCAACATGATGTTGCAAGACAATTTAACGTCCACAGAAACACCATTTGGTGTTTATGGCAACGTTTGCAACAGACGAATGCAGTCAGAGACCATCCTCGGAGTGACAGGCCACGCGTAACCAATAATCGACAAGACAACCAGATTCGAACAACACACCTACGGAATCGATTCCAGCCAGCAACAGTGACTGCAAGAAGCATTCCTGGCCTTCGATGAATATCTTCACAAACCGTACTTCGTCGCCTCAGATGTGCAGGGATTGTCGCCAGAAGACCCGCCAGACGTCCCATTTTGACAGGAAACCATCCCCAAGCACGTCTACAGTGGTGCAGACAGCATCTACGCTGGACGGCCATGCAGTGCACGTGGGGACAAGTTCTTTTCACTGACGAGTCTCGTTTTCACCTCAGCCACAGCGATGGACGGATTCGAGTGTACCGACGTCGAGGTGAACGTTACGTCAAACATTGTGTCATGGAAGAAGATCGGTTAGGGGGGCGGCAGCGTTATGGTATGGGGTGGGATTACAGCAAGGACCGGTTTGATAGTGGTAGAGGGAAATCGACAGCGCTACCGCGACAAGATCATCGGCCCTGTTGTTCTACCGTATTTTGCGTCGTCATGGCCCAGGCATTACCTTTCAACA